GTTTTTTTTGGGGGGGGGGGGTAGTATGGGTCCGTCTGTAGTGGCCGGGCTGAGTGGCGAGGCCAAGGCCACGAAGGACATTCAGCCATGGCCTTCTGAGTTCCCTGCTCCGCTGTGGCCTCCTGAACTGTCTGATCCACCATGGCCTTCTGAGCTGCCTGCTCCACCATGGCTCCCCTGTCCTGCACCAGCCTCCAGGGCGCCCACCCCCCTAACCCTAACCCTGGTGGAATTGTTACGGCGCGGGACGCGCCTTCCGGGAGGGGGGCGTAATGTCAGACTCTGTTCCTTGTTTTGTGTGTGTTTTGCTCCCCATGTGCTTTCCTTGCCCTTAGTTGGTCCTTCCGGTTCCTGTCCCCATTTAGTTCTATTAGTTCCAGGTGTTCCTTGTTATTAGTTATCCTCCTCACCTGTCTGCCCCTCATTATCTGCCCTATTTGAGTTCTAGCCTGTTCTGTTCTCCCTCGTCCGGAATTGTATATGTCTATCTTTGCTACGTGTGTTTTCCTGGTTCCCTGGATATAATTAAAGTCTATATGTTTGAATTCAACTCTGCGTCTCCTCGTTCCTCACTCCGTGCTCCTCACAGTAGCAAACCGTGACAAAACTGATGGTGACAAGAAGTTTGTTTCACATTTGAGGGAGGGCTGTTAAAATCTATCAGCATACAACATACTAATATAATGGATAGTTATTAGATGAGGAGCCTGAGATCAAAATTATGAAGTTATTGTTTAAGGCAGGACACTTCATGTACTGTTCAATTTTTGAGATTTTGGTCTATTTTGCTTCAATGTCTTCTTTTTCTCTAATGGAGGGAAATTTCCAAAATACACAGTAAGGTGTTTGTTTTAAGCCTACTACCAAGTTTCCTTCTGTAGATTTCTTCTAAATTAACCAAAACAATCTGCATGTTTAAACATAACATTTCAAGGGGAAAGACTCTTGATGTAAGTCATTAACTAATAACTGGGGAAATTCTGTGATATACTTTAGTTATTTTGTTTACCCTATTCATCTGCAATGCCTTGTGCCAAATGTATGCAAATTAGCGCATTTTAATTACGTACCGCCTGATTTGCATATCAATGTGGCGATTCTGATGACGTCATTAATTTTATAACCCAGGCTAATTCGAAATACGTGTCTGATTTTCTTAGGCTCAGCTGCGTGTGGATCGCAAGCTGTTTGTGTGTGGATTGCGCAAGGCTAAAAGAGCGGAACGAAAGTCTCAAAATTCAAATGAATCAAATAGAAACACACACACACACACACACACACACACACACACACACACACAAACAAACACACAGATTTAATGGATTTCTTTCCCAAATTGCATTGACTGCTCTAAAATATGAGACACCAATGTTTCAGGAGTTTAGGACACAGAATAGGACACGTTATACGATAACTGTTTTATTTCTATTTTGGGTTTATGTAGATGCTTTTTTATGATTAACTGTTAGATGCCTGTGTTTCCTGTCATAGCTATGCAAATGGCTAAACTGCGTGTGGATCGCGAGCTGTTTGTGTGTGGATTGCGCAAGGCTAAAAGAGCGGAACGAAAGTCTCAAAATTCAAATGAATCAAATAGAATCGACTATCAAGAGATATCAATGAATGCACGCGTGCCGCCTGATCCACAAATGCACATCTTAATCGCTACATGCACAAATCAAGATACGTTAATACAAAATATAACATTTTTATTCACAAGCATGTTTCTATTTAACCAAAATGCTGCACATTCATGCAATTCTGAATTTCACAGACACAAGATGAAAGGCATTTGGTTGTGGATAGTAAGCAGTGTTGGGGAGTAACTAGTTACATGTAAAGGAATTACCTAATTTAATTACAAAATAAATGTAACTAACCAGTTACAGCTACTGAGAAAAAATGGGCAATTAATTTACAGTTGCTTATGAAAATGTTAAAGATTACAAAGGGGGTTACATCTGATTTTTCACACACACATCTAAAATATGAGACACCAATGTTTCAGGAGTTTAGGACACAGAATAGGACACGTTATACGATAACTGTTTTATTTCTATTTTGGGTTTATGTAGATGCTTTTTTATGATTAACTGTTAGATGCCTGTGTTTCCTGTCATAGCTATGCAAAGATTGGATTTCAAAAACAGTATCATAGCAATTAAACTATTTCTTGTTATGGTTTTAAATCTGAATTTAACCTCAGTACGATCTCAAAGTAAAAAGAGGTGATTTTGTGTTGGATGTGCGTTAAAAATAAATGATAAACTTAATTCAAATGATGAAGGATTCTGAAAGTCTGACAGTAATGAGTGTTGAGTACCACTGTAAGGTTAACCCTGCCTGCTTTAAATGTTTCAAAATGATTAACATTTGAAAACATTCATTAGAAATTTAGAAAAGTAATCAAAAAGTAATCAGTTACATTATTTTAATACAGTAATTGAAATAGTTACACTACTTATTACATTATAAATAGGGTAACTTGTAATCTGTAACAACTTATTACATTTCCAAAGTAACCTTCCCAACACTGATAGTAAGAAACATCTGAATTTTTCTAATCGATGGGTACATGTGCACACATTAATGAATAGCGCAGGGTCTTATTAATTGGTAGTTGTTTGTGTGTGGGTTGTGAAATGCTGAAAATTGCGAAAATAAAGTCTCAAAATTCAAATTAATCAAATAGAATCGACTCAGAAGAGATGTGAATGCACACGTGCCACTCGATCCACAAATGCACATTTTCCTTGTTGCATGTGCAAATTCTGATACACTAATGCAAAAGAAATCATCTGTATTCACAAACATGTTTCTATTTGTACTAACCGCTGCACATTTATGCTAATTCTGAATTTCACAGACACAAGTTGACAGACATTTGGTTGTGGATAGTAAGGTGCATTTGCAACATTTATCAAGTTCATGGATAATTGTGCATGCATTCGTTAGTAAAGTTGAGACTAATTTCATCCCATATGAAACTGCCTCACTCATGGAAGTGTGAATCAGTGTTACCAGTGTTGCAAGATAAATAAGCAACAAATATTTGATTATTTATTATCATCAATATTATTTATTATCAATTGTTTATTATCAATAAATCAGCCAAACCACTCTCAGAGTTTGAAGAACAGAAACAGAAGTTATTTGACAAAAATCATCTAATTGCAACAAAGCAGGAGCAGGCACTCATTGCCCAGGGGCACAACTGAAGAGTCTTAATCCGCCACTGCAGACACACCCAACTTAACGATTTCAATATATCGCTTATCCTGCCTGAAGTAACGATAAATTTGCATACACATATCCTAAAAACTAATCCCTTGTGACTGATATGCTGCAAACTGAATGATTTTAAGTCTAGGTTTTGGCTATCAGTCATTGATGCCCTCTGCCAGTAGGGAACAGCAAACACTTCTGGTGGCTTCCCGAATTCACAGTACGCTACTCAGATGACCTACTAATACAGAGATTCTGAAGTGTTGCTGTCCTACAAAGTGTTTTCTACAAAGGTTTATTTCTGATGTCTTTGATGTAAAATGCTCCTTCTGTGATCACAAAACTGAAGATTCGTCTCATCTTTTTGGTATTGTGAGTATAGGCCTACTAAGACTCTCTGGAAAAACATATTGAGTGTTTTTTTGGGGTATAATTCCTGATATCTCTTTGAAATATGAAAATGTTATTCTAGGATATAGGCTACACATGAGAGTGAACAGTCATATGTTTCTATATAATCAATCTTATTTTGTTCCTGGCTAAATATTTTATACATAAATGTAAATTTTGTAAGCGAAGGCCTTTCTTTAGAATTTTTCTTGAAGATTTAAATATCTATATGTGTATGATTTCTCACTCTGCTAATAAGAAAGCTGTAAAAACTGTGAATTTATTAAAAAGGTACATTACTGTCTTGCTCTCTGGCATATGATATACTGTCATTGTGTTACATCTGTTTATAAATAATAATAATAATAATAAAAGATTCTGAAGTGTGCATATGATGGACATTTTACACTATCTCATGAGGCCACGGAAGAGGATTTGTGAATGGCAGTGAAGCAACGCAACTGAAGCTGGTAGGTCATGTGACAAAAACAACATGGCGACTGTAGTAGGCTACGTCCAGATAACATTTGTACTACACACATACATACTATATAGAGCATACTTTTTTACAATTACGATCTAAACGTCAATTATAACACAGATGGAGATCTGAGTGAAGGAGCAAGGTCAGGAAAACATGATAATCAATAGCCGACTTTATTTGCCATGCACAAAGCCGATTTTTTGTTTTTAAGAATTGTTTTATTGAAAGGGTGTTTTCACTGTCCACATTTCGTCACGCCTCCAAAGACAAAAATACTGTTTGTGTTTTAAACAACCTGAAACAAAATAGGCTATTTGGCTATTTGAATATTTGCAATAAATTAAAATAGTTAGAACCAGATCAAATGCGAATAGAAAAACATTAGCTATATGTAATCAAGAATAAGTTGTAGGAGAGCAAAAAAAGGACAAGAAGTGGCTATAATTACAGTCAGTCGTGTTTTAGAAGCCTATACTATTGTTGACAGGAAGTTTGTGTTCTTCAATATTCCTCAAATCCAGTGCAAAAATCTCTGGGATCAAATAATGATGTTCAAAAACATGACACCCTTCACCCTTTCTCCGAAGTCGTTTGTTTGTTTATTTATTTTCAATATTGTTTTCACTCGCTGTGATAGCTATATCTTCTCATTTTAACGCTGTGTTTAGATGATGTAGAGCAAGTGTTGGTGGACGTAGAAGGAAAAGACCACAAAGAAATTACGAACCATGTGAAGATGGTCCTTGGCAAGTCAGAGTAAGTACATTTACATTTGTGCATTTGGTTGACACTTGTAGCCAAAGTAACTTATTGCGTTCAAGGTATAGATTCAATCAGCTCATGCATCGAACCCACAACCTTGGCATTAGTGGTGCCGTTCTCTAAGGCTACTACATTAAGTAGTGCTTTATGTGATTTAAAGAAAAAAATGAATCAAAATGTTGTTAAAAAAGCACTCAGCATAAAAGAGTACATCCCTTAAGAAACTTAATATGTCTAATAAGTAAAGCATAATTGCTACATTGGTGTTAGATATTATGTTCCAGCAAGTATACTTGATCAATCACCAAAGAAGCATGTCAAAATTATCATACTTTATTTTTCAGTTTTATTTAAATGCTTTTAGTTAAAAAATAAAATGCATAGTCAACAATCAATCTGCCTTGAGGTAAACCCAATAGCACCATCCAGGGGCGGTTTTAGGGTGAGTGGATATCCGAGAAGGGTATTCCTGCAATACAGGAGACTGCAGTTTCAGGACCGCATTTCTAGGACCCTACTGATTTTTTTTTTGTATTTTGTTTATTTATTGTATGCATATATGTATTAGCATTAGCATATCTATTAATTATTGTCCTCACCATCCCCTAACCTGCTCAAAAATGCAAATCGGACACATAATTAAACAATTGAATAAGAGATATATTTCTTTGATTAAAAATCTTCACAGTGACAGGGCTCAGTAACAAATAACCTAATTTGATACCTGAAACAGCTGCATCTTGCCATTTAAGTGTTGGCTTTGTGTTTTACTTTTTTTTTTTTGAAGAAGAAGAATTTTGAAATATCAATTTTTATTTTCAAATAACTTGATCTAGTAAAGTATACACTCATAGTATCATCAGCTGGAACGTCTTGATACTGTTAGATGTGCAAAGAGCAAATATGCAGTTCTAACAGAAATGGTGCCTACAAGGCATGGTGTTAAAAACATTTGAGGCTTCAGCCCTTAGCATTTGAAGGTGCATCCCAACCTGATTACAATGACTGATAAATATGTAATTAAAACACATGTGCCTGTACTCTGCTCTTATGTCTCTTTCTGCCCACAGTAAAGTTATTGAAGCTGAAGCTCTGGCTAAAATGGAGTTGTCTAACCCGGCTAACTTTGGGCCCAAGAAATATTTCCTGCGGGAGTGTATCAGTGAAGTGGAGGGTCAAGTTCCTCATCCTGGTTTTGTCCCGCTTCCCAAAGAGATGACTGGCAAAAACAGGGCCAAACTGGCTGCAGGCTCTGACGAGTAAATACTGTGTGGGATGAATGCGAAAATGCTCAGGATGCTTTACATTAAAAAAACAAATCTTTGGGGTGGGTGAACATGATTTGACGTTTTGTGACTTTCACTCAGACTGTGACTATGGAAAGCAGACTTGTTTTATGAACTTAAAAAAAAAGAAATTTGGTGGCTTGTTCTTGAGTAAATACCTACAAAAGGAATCACCACATTTTCATTCAGTGAATTTTATTAATTATTAGTGTTACATTTATGATACCGGATATTGCTCAGTGTAAACGCAATATTATCCAAGCTAATGGACAGGTTGTTAGTCACAATATGTTACTCTGATCACAAAAACATAATTACAATTACAAAAAGCATTACATTCAGCCACAGTCTGTTCTCTGTAGAGGAACGCCTTGAGTTAATAGAAGACAGAACTCACCAGTTTTGATGTCTTTTTGAAGGACTGATAAAACATGCAAGCAAAATCCAGGAGATTTAACATACAAATGGTACAGTCTTTGCACAGCTATTTAGAGGCGCAGCAGGCAATTATGATAACTATGCATACGTTTGTTATGCCAACACTGGTTTCCATAACATTGGATGTATTTGTATAATTGCTTTATACATTTAGGTGCAATAGAAATCAGTACTTCTAATGGAATAAAACAATGTATACAAACTAAAAAAACAGACATCTGACATTGCTTTCATTGTACAAGCCCAAAAAAACAAAAACAAACACAATTATTGATTTTTGGGTGAACTATCTGTTTAGTATTACAGATTTGTTGAATCAGTTCAAATATTGTTTCTGACAGCATCAACTTCAATTGTATGGACAAAAATAGTTCCAAAGAAAAAAAAATAATGGTTTGGAACGGCGAGTAATTAGTGAAAGGATTTTCATGTTTGAGTGAACTATCCCTTTGATGTTTCAAAGATAGAAACACAGGAAATCAAGGTTTCTATTTAGTGAAGTGCTGGTTATCCATTAGATCAATAATAATAAAAAAAAAAGTTCAAAGCTGCAGGTGTGCATTCAAGCTAGACTGATACATAAACTGAGATTTTCATAAAATTCTAAAGCAAAATGTATTCTGAATCAAAGTAGCTATGAGCATGAAATACTGACTTTGCTGAACAGAAAATTCTTTACTTCAGATATTTCAACCACTTCCATAAAACCTACCTATTTATTTGACTTGAAACTACATAATGCAAGATTAAGATTTTGTTGACATAAAATATTTGAATATTTAGCAAAGCCAAGACTCGCTGTTTTAAAAAAAAATTTAATTACAAATTTAAATCAATACAACAGATATTCAGTTGTTCTGATCACAAATTGTCCTACTTCTATGCATTCTTGCATAGAAAATTTGTTTTATATTTTTGTCAAATGCATCAGTAGCTTACATTGTTATTTGTAACTGAAAACAAGCCTCATCAATTACAAAACGAGTTTGTGACGGCCACTATTTTTTTCTTTTCTGCTCTTCTAGTGTTTTTTGCAGCTCCTTTAGGTTCTCAGACAAAAGCTCCACTTCATCAGAGCGTCCGCTCAGCTTGGCGTCAAAGATATATGCCCTGATGTTATCGATCTGTTGTAGAAGTAGCTCTTCCTCAATCATGTCATTAGCTGCTGAGCCATCCTCATCATCCTCTTCATCAAACGGATTGGTTGAGGCAGCTGGAATCTCATCGGAAACCTCTTTAAAAGGGTTACCTCTATCTTCATAATCGTCATCTTCAAAAGGATTTCTAGCTGACTTCACTTTAGCTGTACCTGGATCTTCCATTTCATCGTTTTCTTCCTCAAACGGGTTGTACTCTTTCTTTCCATTGGCTGTCTGAGAGTTTGTCGGTTCTTCCTCAGCAGGAGAGAAATGCTCCTCGTCAAAGGGGTTTCTGGTGGGTGGAGTTGGTGTGTGTTTATCTCTTTGCCTCTCTAAGGGAGGAGAGTTTCCTAATAGACGTGACAAAGACTGTGAAGACCCAGGGCTTCCAATCAAATGTTCTCCCGCCTCTTCTCTTTTCGGAACATCTTCTCGGTCTCTGAAATCCAAGGAGGAGTGTTTTGATTGGTTCCTGTACTCGAGCTCTCTCTGATGCAGATGTTCGATCTGTCTCTGCTGCAGGTCTGTCTCCTCAGCTAACCTCTGTGAAAGCTGGATGGCTCGACTGGTCTGCTGAGCATCAAACTCGTCCTGCAGCTGCCGCAGGTTCTCCTCCAGCATGGCCACTTCATCGGTGCGGTTTGCGGAGCGCGCCTGCCGTAAGAACGACTCTATGTTTTTGATCTGTTGCAGCAGAGGGTCGTCCAGCTCGGAGCGAGTATGCAGAGTGTCTGATTGTGGCAGCCAGCCACCAGCTTTGGTTATGCGTGGACCTGAAACGTTTTCATTTGCACCGAGGGCCAGTCGGTCATGATCATTTTCTATTCGACGCTTTTGTGCCTCCAGACCTGCCTAGGTTATGTAAGACAAGACAAGAGTTACATTATGACCTGCAAAATAATTAATTGCATCAGACCAGCTTATTATCCAGCTATTTCAGAATTTTTTTTAATGTGATTTATTAGAAACTCATATCTCTAGACTACTGATGAATCAATCAGGCTGATCTGATTCTTAAAATAAATGCACTGATTTGATTCATCGAATTCATCGTCAGGTTTGTTTAAGCTGAGCAAGTTCTGTGCAGCACTGACCACCAGGTGTGATTAATTATGTTCATTGGATCATCTCATAGGAACCTAAAACTGAGAAATTATGTGGACATTTGTGGACTTGCATTAAGGCGATTTAGATCCCCCCCGTCGGCCACCAATTTGTGTAAATGAGGAACTGTCAAATCGAACACAAGTATCTCTATACCAGGGTTTTCAAACAGGTCCTGGAGGCCCCCCATCACTGCACATTTTGAATGTCTCCCTCATCTAACACACCTGATTCAACTCATTATAGCAGAGACTGCAAGACCTGAACTGGGTGTGTCCGATATACAAACTGTGCAGTGGTGGGGGGACTCCATGACCTGTTTGAAAACCCTGCTCTATACAAAACTATCCAACTTTTTCCTAGCGAGCCTACTGCATTTTAAAGTATGGGAGGCACTTCTGGTTTGGGGAAGTTCCATTCAAAAGACTGAAACAAATCATTTCAAGTCATAAAGCTGCACTACATATAATCCTTATTCATCAGTTTGACTGAATGAGCTGTACATTTTCTTTCATCTTCTATTTTATATATTTGTATAAAATATTATACAAATATTATATATTGTATAATATTTGTATAATATTTATATGATAAAGTTATAAAGTTTCCCACTTAAATATTGTTGCTCCTTTTGTTAGTTTTGACTGCTTTTATTGTCCTCATTTGTAAGTCGCTTTGGATAAAAGCGTCTGCTAAATGACTAAATAAACTAAATAAATATTTTCAGATGTCAGGAGAATAACATAACATGATATTTTAATGTGACATGGTACAACAAGAATATCTATGGCAAGAGCTCCTCTTTGCCTCCTGATCGTTTTATTTTTCCTTTGTATTCCGCTGTAACAATACGGAAAAAGACAACACATACTGCGCACTTAATCTACGATATATCCAATTAATAATTCACTGGAATGCATGCAAGAATCTCTTGTTTTTCTTCCCAAATCCTTGTGTCTCTTTCCAGGTTAGTTTTCACGAAGATGCGTTAAAATTTAACGTCTCCTCTTTTTATTTCTAATCCCTAATTTAATGTGCGATGGTTGAAGGGAGAGAAGAACAATGTCACCTTATTGTACCCAGTTTTTGAAAAGGCTTTTTATTGTGTTCATAGTGCAAACTTTTGACTGCTTATTAAAGTTTAACGGAAGTTACTCCCATAATATGAGCAACGCATGATAGGGCATAATTCATATATATTGCAAGGATATATATGGCTGGATGTCATACAGTCTATAAGCTTCTGCTGGTTCATAATTCTGCAGCCTTCTAAGTCTTTCCTGATTATTATTCTTTACCATATAAACCAAACCTCCTTTGCTACATTGGCTAAACAGTCAGAACATGTTCTCTCAGATTTGAATAGATTTAGATCAAATTATAAAAACTGAGTGCCCTCAGAATTCAACCTTTTCAGCAGACACAATCAGAGATATTAAACTGTTGTAGAAAAGTTTCCTAGGAAATTTGGTTTAAGGAACCCTAAAACTGAGAAACAAGGAAGAATACTCAGATGGGTCACATGTGACATACAATTCAAGCTCAAAAGGTTTTGGAGTTGAGTCATCAGAATCACCAATGATTCACTTAAGTTCTTATCAAATAAAGAAAAACCGATTAGCAAATTGGATTGATATGAGAAACAGAAAATGATCATGTTGTGGTTTATTCACCTGTCTCTCTTTCTGCGTCCTTTTCTCCTGCTCCTCTCTTCTCTTCTCTTTAAGCTCCTCATATTTCTGCTTGGTGGGGAGCGACGTCAGACCCAACAGTTTCTCCTACGCGTGTAAAAAGTAACTGTTGACTGGAGAATTTGAGCTTCTACCCTTATATAGTGTTACCCATAAGTGTGTAAACCTCTCGGAAAATTGTCAAGATGTTTAACATTTAAAAAGTATATATAAACATTTCACCTGTATAAAAAGTGTAGCTGTGTAGCGCACCATCCTTTGCAGCTGCAGGGCTTTTGGGTGAGGCTGGACCTCGTCTTTTAGTCCGAGTGCGAGTATCTTCTTACTGATGCCAAACCCGCCCCCCCCCCACAGAAATGCATTCTGTGAATCCTGATTTAGATATGTACATCACATCACAGTATGTGTCTTTAGTCTGTTGCCTACCTCAGAACATCAAGGAGCTCATAGTATTTCAGTATCTCCATCCTCAGTGCAGCAGCAGTCTCTAGATTACAGGTAGTCTCCCCAGCACTACACAATACAGAGAAAACTTGAGTCTGGCAATGTTTGGGATGTGGCACCAGGCATTAAAATATCATTAAAGAAGTCAACAAATGTACATTTGTAGTGCTTTTCTTATAGCTTGAGGGCTTACTTGAGAGACTCTGCCATGCGTGTGTACTCTGGAG